CGCAGCAGTAAATGAGAACGCTACCACAAAATGCTGGCAAACGACTGCCCTTCAAAGAGACATTTCCTAAAAGTGCACTATAAAGAGTTCTATTAATAGTTCTGCAACGCAGCATTCCAATGTTCGGCAACATTTTTTAGCTGGAACAATGGGCCCATTAAAAATACGCTTTTGGAATCAATTATACAAAAAAACATGAAAATTTAGCTCAGACCGAAGATCCTGATTAGGGACTAGCGTATTTCAAGCAGTCTCGTACCACGCAAGAAGTGTATAAAACGTGAATAGTAGTGACGTTTTGCTCTTGCTTCTACAATTTCACATAAAAACTTTACTCGGCTAACTTTTCGACATTTTCGTCGTTGTCGAAAGCCTAAACATGCTCGAAACCTCAAGATTGCACGACCCCACCAAGCATCTTGATCCCTCCAGCATTTCTGACGTCATTCCGGGATAGGGGATGGGGAAACGAGGGAGCGGTCGTACCGGGAGAGGTCGTAGTCTGTCAAAATCTATCCCGAAACGGCAAGATGAGTCTTGTTCCACTTTGTTACAACTTTTCAGCTACTCCTATCATGCGCACAAATAAACAATTAGTTACCTAGTTAATGAATAAATAGATACGCTGCCTAAAAGTGATTTCGCTGGGGATTTGAGTCTATGTCTGACCATGAAAACTGCGGGACAACGAGGGTTTAGTCCGCCTAATTTGGGGAACTCACGGTCCGGAAACTTCTCATGAAATCACACGATAGTTTTTTCTTGCCAAATCCTGGAGAGTCGGCTCGAATCTCTCACTGTGGAAGCTTTCAATCAAACCCCTCAGCACACTTTTCGTTAGTGTTTATTCCACAAAGTGAACGAGCGAATGCTGAATATCATTTTTATCGTAAAACCGGTATTTTTGTAATGTTCGAGAGTTGCCACCTGCATAATAAACGGTTCTGCTAAGATCAACAGTGTTGCCCTTCCTGTATATGATAAAATGTGAATGGCCTGTCTGGCCCGAAATAAAGTGTGTCAGAACTCATAATTTCAGCAAGGAATTTCTCTCGAAAAAAATGAAAGCCACTTCTGAATTAGTTTTCGGCCCGTGTCGGGGAAAAAAGAAGAACAGGTCTCCCGCAACTCCAAAAACGTACTTACAGAAGAAATTCCGGCACTATTTACCCGATACTGCCCAGCCCTCGGAAGTTCTGTCAGAACTTCAATTTGTCTGGAATCTTGTCTCTAGCGTAGTATGACCCCTTACACGAATGTCGCTGTCGCTTGGCACGAAACCGTCAGGCGCTGGTGACAAATACTGCAAGTGGCTGGTCATAGGCAAAATGGCACAACTCTTCATCTTGGCCAACAAGCTTGTACCATGCCATGGATGAATGCCAAATGCCTACGGCTGATGATATCAGATCACTATAAGTGATATCGTCGCAGTCAGTTGGCGCCTTGTCAGGAGGTGCGGACCGAGCCCGCCTCCAACCGAACTTCCACCACGAATGGTCGGTTAGCGATCTTCAGGAAGAAAATAACCAATTAGAAAACTCCATGGGTCGGCTCACCCCCACGCCTTCTTGATACAGCCCCGATTGATAATGGGGCCTTGTCAGGAGGTGCAGACTGAAGATAATGGAGATATCAACCGCATGTGGCACGTCGCACATGTCTAAGAGGCCAGCTAGAGGATCCCTAGCCATGTGCTACTCACGTCTTGCTCTTCGGTGAGGAATTTCTGGAGGTCAGCCACTGTCACTCCTTCCACTCCTTCACTGCTCGCCATTCGCAGCACATGGTGCAGTTCGGGGCGTTCCGTGAGACAGTCGAAAAATCGAAGAAACTCATTCTCGTCTAGCACACCGTCACGAGTCGATTTTTCTTCAGCTTCCTGCAAAGAAGTATCAATGCGGACAATGAGGTGATGTCTCTTCAACCTACTGCCACCCCATTTTCCCTATAAAAGATAAAGTTTTAGCTCCTACTCACCCTGAACATGGCTCTAGCATATTTTTCGCTGATTTCCAGATTTAGTTTTTTGAGCAGAGACCAGACCTCGTTGAAAGAGAGTGTCCCTGAAGTCGGAACTTTTCAGCTTCGGCCCCATACTTCACTCAATGAAAGCTACGAGATAATTGGTAACTTCGCTACCATTTTTGTTGGTATCTGCTTCGCGGAACTTCTGAAGAATCCATTCCTGTTCGTTAAAATGAGCCCTTTGCTCCCTGACCTTTGAGATAAGGTACGAAATTGCAGAGACCCATCGATCACGGTCCTGCACAGAAGAAAATACGGCGCTCCAGCAACAGATGCAAACTGCCAACAAAAACGCGTTGAGCCCCACACCTGCTTTTTATTGGCAGCAAAATCAATCGATTTGTGTAAAAACTTGGCATGAGTGAATATCACAGAAAAACAAGTGGATTCCTAAAAAATAAGAATTAGGGTACAAGAATCCATTAAAAGTGAACATTAAATAAAAGAAGGGAACCCATACCGGTGCTGCTTCCTGGAATTCGTATTTTTTCGCAGCTTGTGAAGGTTGTCCGTACTGTACCAGACTCGAACTCAAGTATATCCGTTACAGGATACTAAACAATAGCCACAGTTAGAAAGAAAACCCATGTTTTCAGCTTTGCAAGCAGGAAAAAGCTCTCTGACAGACTTTCCAGCAATTTTCCAAGATGTCGTCAAACATGGACCTGCATTTCACGCAATATGCAGGCATTTTTCTAAGAAAATGAACTGGAAATGCTCAAGTGAAGCACCTACAGCAGCGCGCGGCGCATACCAAAAGAATAAACGGATATGAAAACTTTCACCACAGAAAAGAACTCAAAATGCTCAAATGAAGCCCAGCGACAGCAAAGTGAGGAAAATGAAATCATCCATTACGTCCCACTAGCGTGACGGACAACGCAAACGCGCAGTGAGCGGAAGATGCGGGGTTCGAGTCCCGTTTGTGGTCTGACTTTGGCCCATAACTCAGCACTCTTGTGATAACTTCATTTGATTCATTGTTTCAGTGAATGACTAGCACCTCCTAATCCCGTACAGTACATTACCCACTTCACAGCCCTAAGCTTTTCATTGCTTGTCGTCTGCTGAGTTTGCAATACAACTGCCCTTGCATATGCGTCATGTTTCTCACCCCGCGGGTTCAATAAAAGTCCTTTACGGAGCGGCAATAAGCGCTATTCTGCTTGAAAGGGGTGTGTTGCACTCCTCGCTAGTTCCCTTTGCCATTTCCTGTTGAATTACACTTCTCACCTGCGTGAGACCTGTACATTCTTGTTGAATGTGAAGAAAACTCCTGCTATTAGCATAACTTTACAGGAATTTACGGGTCTCCGCAGTAGGCATCGGCAACAAGTTATGGGGACTAGCAAAACGCCTCCACCAAGCAGAATTGCGTCCAGGAACCCCCTTTGGGAACGGTTATTGTTTACAAACCGAACCATTCGATTAGCATTAGCCCCGAAAAAATAATATGTGTTCAGCGGAACATATGTAAGCCTTGGCCATGTGGCGTTATGTTGAACGGTTCGAGAACGGAGACACGAGCCTCGACAAAGAAAAGGCTTCGGCCACTCAAAACGAGGGGTCGAATGACAACGATCTCAACTAACGCGTCTTCGTTTAGAATGTGCTAAGAAAAAAGAGATCAGCGAGTCGAAGCACGAGCTGAACCGAGAAACTGCTGCTCCTGCACAACAAAGGACAGAAGCATGCCGAAATGAAGGACTCGAAAAGAGTAAAAAGGATATCTATCTCGCAACCATTGTAAGACAGCTATTGTTAAAATGACCGAGCGGATTTCAGGATGATATCGCATATAAGTAGCGGTCAATATAGGCTAGTAAAGGTTGATTTTTTTGAAGTCCATTATCCGGACTTCGATTTTCTGTCTTTCCCTGGCATTTCAGAACGCGAAATCTCCACACGACCAGCGACTCCAGGTGGACCCGGCTCGCTCGTCTCACTACTCGCTTATATTCACAG